TGCTTTTTAACATTCTGTGTGAAGAAACACCAAGCTATCATGTTTTCTGGAGGAAAATCTTTCATGTGATTAAGTTGTGAGCTGAGCTAGCCACTTTTATCCTGGAATACAAGAACAACTCATAGACAAACTACTATTATTCAGACTTAGGTATTTTGGAAGACATTTTATTTTTTTGAAAAATAAGTGAAGTGAACTTGTCATTACAATGAAAACTACAGTTACTAACATTATTTGATGCTAGTGAAGATATCTGAGTTTTCAAGGGAAAATTAGAATTTCAGTAAACTTTATTTGCCACCATGACCATGACAGTTTACCAATATTGGAAGACTTTTTTGGATGAGATTGGTGGTGATTCAATGATTGTGATTTTTTTAAAATATGGAATAATGAAATATACCAACAATTGGAAAATCTACATAACTTAGTGAACTGATGTTTTATAAATGATTGATACATGATGTCACAAATTCACTAATGGTTGTAAAAGATGCAATTAAAGTGTAAGATAAACCAGCAGATTTTAATGTGACAGAGTACACAAAGTTCATTCCTATTGTTTTAGATTCAACATTGCAATTTACCTTTAAAAAATTACTATTTGTCAAGTTTTGACATAGCATCAAAGAACAATAACTAAAAAGGCTATTAATTACATATCTGTTAGAAGCCAAATTTTTTTTTTTTTTTTTTTGCGGTACGCGGGCCTCTCACTGTTGTGGCCTCTCCCGTTGCGGAGCACAGGCTCTGGACGCACCACAGGCCCAGCTGCTCCGCGGCATGTGGGATCCTCCCGGACCAGGGCACGAACCCGTGTCCCCTGCGTCGGCAGGCGGACTCCCAACCACTGCGCCACCAGGGAAGCCCCAGATTTTTTTTTAATATACATCAATCAAAACGATTGAATGATGAGGCAGATATGAGAATCCTCCTATCATTAAGGCAGATAGTAGAGGTTTGAAAACATGGAAAACAATGCCACATTTCAAAAAAATATTTTATTAAGTTGACAAGTCATTGTGTGTATTATTTTTAATGAATTAATAAATATTTTTAAATTGAGACACAGATGTAGAGAACAAATGTATGGACACCAAGGGGGGAAAGCGGCGGGGGTGGTGGGGGTGGTGGGATGAATTGGGTGATTGGGATTGACATGCATACACTGATGTGTATAAAATGGATGACTAATAAGAACCTGCTGTATAAAAAAAAATTTAAAAAAAAGAAGGAAAAAATATTTTTAAACTTTTCTAGTCAGCTTTTTAAAAAATTTATTTGATTCAAGTATAGTTGATTTACAATGTAGTGTCAGCTTTTATTTCTAGCATGCTAAATATTGATGCCTATAACCCATATATACAAGTTTTTTGAAGCCCCCAATCAGTTTTAAGAGTGTACAGAGGTACTTTACACCAAAATGTTTGAGAACCACGTATGCAGAGAATTATGAAGGTACTAAATCCTTGTTCTGGGGAAATTCCCTGGTGGTCCAGTGATTAGGACTCTGTGCTTTCAGTGCCAGGGGTGCGAGGTCAATCCCTGGTTGGAGAACTAAACTCCTGCAAGCCACGCCACGCGGCCAAAATAAAAAGAAGGAGAAAATAAATCCTTAAATCCTTGTTCTGGAAACCTTGTCTCTCAGACGCATAAACACTTGCTCTGTGTTGTGGGAGGGATGAGATCAGTAGCAGGTCACATCAACTCCAGCAAATCTCCTACTTCTGCAGTTCCTTGCTACATTGTCTTGTACAGTTGAAAATGTAATAGATACAGGTTGGATATGGTAGGTCTTAGAATGTCAGAACCTGAAACACCTATCATCTTCTGACCCAAGCAGCTCATGTTCAAAATAGTTAAATTGTAAATTAATTATCGAATGTTATTCAATTGGTTGGTGCCATAGCTTGTTTGTGAACTGGATCTCACGACTCTTAATATGTTGCTTATAAGTCAGTACTAGATGGCTGATAGCCGTAAGTCAGGCCGGGACTCAGAAAGGAATTTCAGTTAAATGTAAAGGTTTGGGGTGTATCTGTGGGCACACAGAAGAATTTAACCTATGAGAGTCAGTGAGGGGGCAGAAGAAAGCTGAAGTAGGTCCAATAAGTGAGCATAGGGTAAAACTTTAGTTAATGCTTATCAAGAATAATATAAAGAATAGAAAGCCAGGAGAAGGGTACTATTATTTTTTTTGAATACCCACAGTGGCTATATTAGGAACCATTGGGTTACATTAGGAAGCTCTACCTAAAGGAGAGGCACCACATTAATCTCTTAATATAATTTAACACGTTCTATCATCGTAACAACTCTGTAAAGCAGGTATTCTCCATTTATCAACTAGGAAGTAGAGGTCTAGAGAGGTGAAATATGATTTCAGGATTACACAAATGGATCATGCAATCTTGCATCAAAAGTGGGATTTTAAGTTAAGGTCTTTCTTATTCTGGATCCCCTCCCTAAGAAAATCTGGTAGATACAATATTCTGCCTTCAGGGAACTTTCACCTCTGGCTTTAAATTGTGCTATCCTCTTCCCTCTTCTTTTGGGGAGGCATTGGTGGTGGGAGGGGGAAGAGACTGATAGAAATACATGAATGTGTAATTAGCTTTTATATTCATCTATAGTTAGGGGACATTTTACTTTTGCTTTATGAATCATGAATTACAAGTAGAAGGGGATAAACAACAAGTGTGTTTTTAAGAAAAGAAACTCAATTTTACTGAACGTTCTCATTGCTTGAACTCTTAGCACAGAAACAGTTAAATGCTACCAAGAAATAATGAACAATCTTGCATTACATGTAATATTCATGGAAATTTAGAGGTGAGGTTGTGTTCCTTTGTGGGGACCCACAGCTAGACACTTGACATCCCACAATTTCCGCCCTACTTCGAAGTCAGTTTAATTCACATTACATGTAAGAGTACATACGTTAGATAATATATTTTAAATTATAACTTAGCATGTAAAACTCACCATACAACTAAAAATCACAAAGCCGGAGTCTGATTCAGTGAGACGAACTTGGGCTCTGAAATTTAAACCAGTTTCTCAAGAGTTGACCACCTAAGGCAAGGTTCATACAAAGCCTGAAGGCTTCAAGGTTTGCAGGAGAAAATTAGTGAGTTTCCCCGCAGAGGTGTGAAGTCATCAGGCCACGGTAATACTTCTCAGAGGTGTAACTGCTGTGTGTGGGGGTAAGGTGGAGGTGATGGGGTGGAGGTAGGGTGGAGGTGAGAGGGTAGAGGCAGGGTGGAGGGATGGGGTGGAGGTAGAGTGGAGGTGATGGGGCGGAGGCAAGGTGGAGGTGAGAGGGTAGAGGTAGGGTGGAGGTGATGGGGCGGAGGTAGGGTGGAGGTGAGGGGGTGGAGGTAGGGTGGAGGTGAGGGGGTGGAGGTAGGGTGGAGGTGAGAGGGTAGAGGCAGGGAGGAGGTGAGAGGGTAGAGGTAGGGTGGAGGTAATGGGGTGGAGGTAGGGTAGAGCTGAGGGGTTGGAGGTAGGGTGGAGGTGATGGGGTGGAGGTAGGGTAGAGCTGAGGGGTTGGAGGTAGGGTTGAGGTGATGGGGCGGAGGTAGGGTGGAGGTGAGGGGGTGGAGGTGGGGTGAAGGTGGGGGGCGTCGGAAACCGTAGTACTTTGCATGTTGGTCCCTGGGGACGGGCTGACACCTGGTGTTGTAGTAAAATTCTTGACCTCTAATCACAGCCCCCTACACCACATCCTGTGAGACGTGTTGAAAAGCATCGCTCCCAGTTTACTGACTTTTCTGTTTTGACTTGTTCATTATTGTAGCAGATACATGATAAGGAGCAAGAACTCAGTTTTCAAGGCCTAGTCAAGTTCGAAGGAAGTCCACTCCTCAGAGGAACCTTGGAGGAAAAGAAAAAAGAAAAAAGAAAGAAAAGAAAAGAAATCTCTTTTATCCTATAGTAACTTCCAGGAAATCTCCAAAAACCGAAATAGTTAATTTGTAAGCTCCCTTTCATTTTTTCCTAAACAGTGCCACCTACTGTCCATTTGAAGTCATCAGGAGGCTTGCTGGCGAGGACCAAAGAGAAATAAAGGGGGAAAAAGGAACAGAGAAAATTAACTCCCAGCCTTGGGTCACTGGAAAAAAGATGAGAAAAGACCATTACGAAGCAAAAATAAGTATTTTGACTCGTTATCTTTTTAAAAGGTTCGCGAGAAGCAAAAGTCACTTAAGACATTCCCTTAAAATAGCTTTTTTTTAAGGGTGCTATTTTGGAGTCCTCTAGAGGACGGTTTTTATTTTGTTTTATTTTCTTCATAAAGCTCGCTGTTGGCGTATTTTAATGTTAGGGGACCAGGTTAAGAAAAAATACAATTATTTTTTTCGCTCACCCAAAGCGAAACTTCCATGTGAAAGGGACTTTTGACACTAGACATCAGCTCAGAAACTTTTGAGTTGGTGGGAAGAAAGGGTTAACAAGTGGTAGGGCAGTCACGGATCTTTTAGAGTTTCAGCCGGCTTTCGGAGGCTCCAGGTGTATACACACACACACACGCACACACGCACACACACCTCCCAGCTCTCTCTCCCCAGGGCAGTTACTTAGCCTAAGGGCACCATTTGGTCTTAAAGCAAATTACTTAAACAGAACTGGCAGGGCATCGCGAAGTGGGAATCCTCGTAGCTCAGAGGAGTCAGTCTACACAGCGCGGCCTCCCGGCTCCACTGCTGGAGGAAAGGAGGGAATCAGGTGGTGGCCAGCATGTGTGCACAACATTTCTCTGCACACGTTTGCAATCAAGTTAATTGAATTCATTGGCGTTTAGAACCGGTCGCTAGCTCAGAGAGAGCTTTGAATGGCCAATTTCTCTCTCCCTCTCTCCCTCCCCGTCTCCCGCCCGCCCGCGCTCCCAGTTCCCTCCCCTCCGGGTTCCCCAGTCCGCACCTCCCTTCTCCACTCCCCTCACCCCCCACTCCCTCCTCCGCCCTATTAAAACACCCACCAGCTCACTTGTTAAGACCCCCTTAAGTTGGAGGAGGCAGAAAGGCAACAACCGCGAGGAAGGAGAAGTCAAGACGTCTGGAAAGAATTACCCAGTCCTGGCTTCCAGCAGCCCATTGAACCAGGGACTTGAACCAGCCCCAGCCAAAGACTTTCTCCCGATTCTAAGCTTCCTGGGTTCTGCTGCGTTTTCACCAGGCTTTTTTTTTTTTTTTTTTTTTTTTTTTTTTTTTAATACGAAGAAGAGACTTTCCGATATTAGGGGAGGGGGAACTAGAGCATAAAATAAAATAAAGTTAATTTATTTTCAAAGCACAGATAACATTTTTTTTAAGAATTAGAAGATTGAAGTGCAACGGAAATATTAAAAAATAGTAGTGATTTTTTTAAAGTGAGGGAGACCTAAGCATTTAAGACTCCCCCATCCTTTTTAAATGTTGTTTTTAAATTTTTTATTTTTTTTGGCCGGTCGTCTCAAATTCATCTGATCTCCTATTACCTCAGTTTTGGAAACTGCCCGCCACCGACCCTCCGGGACCACACAGACAGGCTGAGGACAACTTTATGACCAAGAGCTGAACAAGGTACGTTACACTGGCGCGATTTGGTGAACGCTGAGGGTCCTCGAATAGGCCAGGGAGAGGGAAGACATTATCCACGTTAAGAGTTAAAAACAAATTTAAGTCAGTTTTCGACAGAAAAGTTTGAGGTCTGAAAATTTCCAACAGACTGCAAATCAGGGGATATTTCAGATCACTGTCAGGCTTAGCAACATTTCCTCTGTCTTCTCCCATCCCTGCGGCGCTCGCCAGAAATCCGCTGCCTTTCTGCAACACAGGTAACCTCTTTGCCTGGGAAAGGCTGCAAGTCCCGGGATGTACTTTTCCATTCCGCATCTTCCCGAACTGCAGAGGGGCTCACGAGTTAAAAAACAAGAATTTCCACTGTGTATGGAAAATGCATTCCGCGCAGCCTCCCCCTTCCCCCTTATTCCCATCACTTCTCTTCTTTTTTTCCCACACACTCTCTGTGGGAAGGAAAGCCCTGGACAGCCTAGCGCGTTTTCCAAGTGGGAAGCCTGTTTCTTACTTGGAATGCAAAGGGTTAAAGCGATCCTGGGTCCCAGCTCTGGCCCCAGAGAAGGAGGGTCCTTCGCCACTTCCTCGCAAGCTACCGGCCTCGTTCGGCCACTCCCCGTCTTCCCCTGACCTCCCCTCCTTTGCACTCCCTGCACCCCATTAAAGTGTCACTGTGGGTTTGTCCGGGCCCAGCCCGGCTCCAGAAGCCATACTACGGTCTGGGGTCCCTGACCCAAGCAGTGGCACTCGGAGACCCGAGCGAGAGGAGGCGCGCATCCCTCCTCCCGGCTGCAGGGCTGCCCGCCTGCCCGCGAGGGCAGGGCGTGCGCGGGGACCGCGTGCTGCGCGCAAGCAGCTGCAGCGTCCCGGGAGCCAATTCCGACGTGGCAACGAGCACGCTGGCGCCTCTTTCCGCAGCTGCAGCGCGGGACACAGTCGGGTGGGGATTTGGGGGTGCCTTCCCGAGCGCCCAGCCCCGGGTGGGGGATGGGCTGTGGGAGCCGGGGTGAAGGTGGGAGGCGAGCCAGAGGCTAGGTTGGGATGGATAATCAACACCTTGGGCGGAATTCGTCACGGAGGTTCCCGCCCAGCTCGAGCGAGGGCTACAAAATGGGTCCCTGTGAACCGGAGGGTGGGTCTGAAAGGAGGGTCTGTGTGAGAGCGAGGACTGGGAGGCTAGAGGCTTTTCCTCAGGCTGAGGATACGCAGCCGAGGGGAAGTGGCTCTGAAGGGATAATTAAGGCTGGAAAGAGAGGCTGGGAGCTGAGAGGCGGTGCCTGGGGAGGAGGGTTTTCAAGACCTGGGTCCTATTACACAGCCTTAGGTGCCAGCTTCCCGCGGCCGCTCCCTCCATCCCCCGGACGCCCGCGCTAAGTACTTGGGAGTCACCAACCCCACGCGCCTCTGGGTGGAGTGAGCTGCTACAGCCCTGCTCCCAGGAGGTGGGTGTAGGAGCTCTGCTGGCTCCTCCCTGCCCGGTTCCACACCCTTGGGGGCCATTGCTGCCGGGTGTCTCCCGAACAGCTGCCCAGGAAGGCTACACTACTCCAACCCACGTGACTGGCCTGGGATTGCCTTTGACGTCACACCTAGGGGGGAGGTGTGACGCAATAGGTCGGGAAGTCCTGATTGGCGACCGAGGGCTTCCCCAACTTGAGGCCTGAGTATATATACACTTTCAGCTCAGCCTTAGAGTAAAGCCAAGGAAGTCGGTAGTTGAACATTGCTGGAAAAGGGAAGCGACAGATAAGGCGAACAACTTAACCGCCCATTGTAGATTTCAAGGCTTTTTTTTTTCCGGCAGATTTCTTATTGTAGTGAAGGCATAGGATAATGTACCTCTGAAGGTTTAAAACAGGATTGTGATTTTTTGAAAAGGTCATTTTAACAAAATATTGTAAAGGTCAGCACACATTCAAACATGCCAATGATGAAAGGCTCAAAATTGAAATGTGTATTTATATAGAATTGGGTAGAACGAATAGTTATGCCCCTCAAACTATTTGTAGATACAATTGAAAATGTGACAGAATCGGTTGGAAAAGAACTCTTCACTTCTAAACTTTTTTTTCCCCTTTCATTCCAATTTGTGCAAATTGAATCATTCATTACATTAGTTTTCACTGCATTACTCTAGAAGCTAAATAAGATTACTCAGGCAGCTGAAATACTGCCTCTTTTTTTTTAATACTTATCATATCCCACCAAAGGTTTTCCTAATATTTTGGCTATTCTTTTAAATTTTCAATAAAGTTTAACTCTTCGAAGTACAAATTTTAGTATGTATAGTTGTGTATGCATTAAGCAATATTGGGCTAATAATTCAAAATTCTGAGACATTTCTGGATTAGAGCATTATAATGAGGATATCATTTCTCCTGTTTTCTGTCTCTTATTTATATAACATCTGAGTTGGGTGAACAGAAAAGCTTATTGGAGAAGTGCTGACATGCAAATTACCGGAATTACTTGTACCTAGAACTGAATCCTTTCTTATCAGAGAAAGCTATGGTGTTTATAAGAATTCAAGGTCTTAAATCAGTGACTAGCATCAAATTTGAATGTCACTCTCCACAAAACGTTTAGTCAGCTACCTTCCTGGAAAACGAGAATTGTGCAACAAATGAGTAACAGACTTACTAGAAAGTAAGTCATATTGAAACTAATCATTAATGTTAAGTCTGTAGAATAGTCCCACGATGTTGAATTTCATAAATATTTTTTTGCCTATGATTTCCTTATCAGCTAAGTTTATTTTGAAGAAATATTTCTTGAATTGTTAAATTCATGCCAGTCGCTGATTCATTTATTTTCTATCATTGGCACTGTGAAGAAAGGCCTTATCTATGGATTAATGGGGAGATCCCCTTTAGCAAAGCTATATTACACAGTTATATTTTTAATCTAAGAACAAGTAGCATGTTACATTACTAACTTCTTGAGTTTTATACAATGTGGGAGCTATGAGTTAATGTAATTGCCGAATAGAGCATGAACCCCATTGTCCCTTTCTGGGTTCTCTTTTTATCCATGCATATCCAAGCTGTGTTCCACGAAGAGGCTGTAAGGACAGAACCAGTGGCAGTGCTAGGACAGCTGAATGGGGGGACAGCTCCCTGCAGGAAAATCATTTCCATCACCCCAATTTGGTTTTAATCCTTTCCTATGTAGCAGCAATCTGCTTAGACTTAGTATCATCCCACTGCATATACCTTAAATTCAATAATATTTTGAATGTTACCTATAACTTAATGTTAGCTATAACATGTGGAGTTTATATATATACTGCCTTACAATCTAAAAAAATGTCACTGATATATGAGTCAAAATAAATACAAGGTCAAACTCAAATATTTTTCAATTTAAATAATAAAATATTTAGAAATGAATGTCTCTTAAAAGCGTAATCTGTACTGCAGTTTATTTAAAAATGAACAAGATGTAGTGCATATCTAAATCGAATTCATCATAGAAAAAGCATACTCAGAGAAGTTTAGTTTTTTTTTTATTTTTTTTATTTTTGGCTGTGTTGGGTCTTTGTTGCTGCATGTGGGCTTTCTCTAGTTGCGGTGAGCGGGGGCTACTCTTCGTTGCGGTGCGCGGGCTTCTCATTGCGGTGGCTTCTCTTGTTGCGGAGCACGGGCTCTAGGCGCGCGGGCTTCAGTAGTTGTGGCTCGCGGGCTCAAGAGCTCAGGCTCAGTAGTTGTGGCACGCAGGCTCTAGAGCGCGGGCTCAGGAGTTGTGGTGCACGGGCTTAGTTGCTCTGTGGCATGTGGGATCTTCCCGGACCAGGGCTTGAACCCATGTCCCCTGCATTGGCAGGCGGATTCTTAATCACTGCGCCACCAGGGAAGTCCCTGAAAGAAGTTTTTAAATAACCATAGTATAAGGCAAAATGCAATCTGGCCCAAAAAGAAGTAAAATAATAGCTACTATTTATCACATGTCTAATACGTATCAGGCATTGAAGTAGATCCTTGACATACATTATATCTAGTGTCCCTCCTGCCCACCAAAGAAAACTTTATGAAAAAAAGGAACCTTGCCTCAGAAAGGTAAAGCAACCCACTGAAAGTCACAGTGTTAGTAAGGAGAGTGGATGAAATTTAATACAGGAATTCTTGAATATAACACCCTTGAGCTGGACTATACTGCAGCTGGGTTAGTCAAGTTTTATGGGGGTTCAAACTGAGGAGAAAACACATCTGATTGAGAGAGATCAGCGAAGGTTTCATGTAGAGACTTGGCACTGTGGTACATATGGCTACATAGGAAATGGTGTGTAGCGATAGTGTCCAAGAGCTAATGGAGGATCCATGTAGAACTAGGATTCCATGCCAAGTCTTCCTGTAATTCCCCCTTTGCCACAGTGGACTTTAGGATGAAGTTTAGGATGGCAAAATTCAGGAACCAATAGGGCAGTTGGGAGAATGGACATCTTAGAAAGTCTTTGATCAATACAGCTGGTGCAAATGAAGAGAAATCTGAAACGTAAAGTTCTGGATCCAGAGACAGCTCAGGTGACAAGGTCTTTGAAAGGTGTATTGCCTAACCCTGCAAGCTCTGGTCCAGGTCTCTGCTAGAGTAAGTGCAGTGGGACTGGAAAGACAAAGGCCAGCTTCAAAGCCAGAGAGGGAGAGGAGGTCAGACAGGGAGAAGGGGAGGCTCACGTGCTCTAACGTGTAGACTGCTGGGAGGCTTCATTTGGGTACTTCTCTTAGGATTTCTAGTTGAGGATAGTAGCAAGGCAATATACCTGAGGGATGTATAACAATGCAAATGAGATCATGAAAGTTTTCATAGACTTTAACCCAGTGATTGCCAAACTTTGTCACAATTAGAATTACTTAAGGAGATTTAAAAACTCCTGATGCCCTTGTAGCCCCCCATGCCAATTAACTCAGAATGTCTCAGGAGCCTCACATCAGTAATATTTACAGATGCCCTGGTGATTTGGATGTACATCAACATTTGGGAACCACTGCTTTTTAATCTTTTGCTCACCG